CAAGCAAAAACCACTAGATATCCAATCATATAAGGATGTAGGGAGTAAAGAGAAGAAAGAGAGAGAGAGAGGAAAAAGAAAGAAAGAAAGAAAGAAAGAAAGAAAGAAAGAAAAGAAAAGAAAAGAAAAGAAAAGAAAAGAAAAGAAAAGAAAAGAAAAGAAAGAAAAACAGGGTGAAAGTGAAATACTAGTACATGAGATGTACTTGGTGGGATGAAACTCATGACTGGAATGTAGTGATGGAAGGATACAAACTATTCAAAAGAATCAGACCTAACAAAAGGAGAGGTGGAAATGCATTATATCTTAGAGATCTCTTCCTCTGGTTCATCACAACCAAGGAAGAAATCCTTCTAGAATGCTTATGGGTCAACATAAAAGGAAAAAAGAATGACATTGCCATAGGCATATACTATAGGCCACCAAACACAACATAACCACATCGATGTTTTAGACTTTTAAAGAGCTGATTTTAACAAACTCAGAGAGAGCTTGGGAAGGATCCCATGTATAAAAACCTTAAAGGGCAAATCAACTCAAGAAGCCTGGGAAACTCTGAAAAATATGGTTATAAATGCCCAATCTAATTCAATACCCCTAAAAAAGAAAACCAAGACAAATTTAGCATGGTTGCCCAAAGAACTCTCAAACTAACTGAAGGGGAAAAAGACAAGTACAAAAAATGGAAAGAGGGAGACATAATTAAGGCAAAATATCAGAAATAGCTTGAACCTGCAAAGAAGGTTCACGAAGTTAGGAAAACTAATGCTTTGAACAAAGTACAACTTGCAACAAATGTCAAAAATGATTTTTAAAAAGTTTATTTCATCACATAGAAAACAAGAAAAAGGTCAAAGAAACAATTGGTCCACTAAAGGAGAAGATGGCAAGGAGGTAACAAGCACAGGGAGAAAGAGAAACTGCTTAATTCATTTATTGCATCTTCCTTACACAAAATGATATAATAGTGAAACCTGACAGGCACTGTACACTACTCAGCTTACCAAAAATAGAACCATAAAGACAGAGTAGGAATGAAAATTAAGCTGTGCAAAAATAAGGTAACAGAACCCCTGTCAGCTTTAGACAGATTCAAATCAGTTCTAATACTGCTTTACAAAACCTTAGTAAGACCATATGTGACTCAGAAAAAAGATAAAATACATATAAAAAAGAACAAGTTAAGAGAATGGGATAAAAGGAGAAAATGAACAAGAGGAGGAATCTTTCAGAGACCAAGAGAAAATGGTTAAAGAGGGGGAGGTTAGTAGAAAGGAGGAAGGGTAATAAGGTATATATTAGTAGATTGAAGAGAACTATATTAATGTTATTAATGGTGGATAGTTAATTAAGTTAAATGTTTTTTACATAAGAATTGAAGATGAAAACTATCAAGAAGTGGAATCTTTGAGACCAAGAGAAAATGGTTAAAGAGGAGAAGGTTAGTAAAAAGGAGGAAGGAAAATAAAGTATATATTAGTAGATTTAAGGGAATTATACTAATATTATTAATTGTAGAGAATTAATTAAGTTAAATGTTTTTATATAAGAATTGAAATAAGTTGCTTACAGTAAAACAGACCAGCAAATGAAATGCGAAATTTGATTTAACTTTGAAGACAATTTAAATTAAGAGACAAAGATGAAATGTTAAAGAGTAGGATGGGGAATTTGAGAAACATATTTAGAGATGGAGTTGATGTTATTGTAAGAGATTAGAAATTAAGGTGATGTTGTTTATGTACTAAGAAGAAAATAAGCTTAAGATAAAAAAGTATGGAAAGAGAATAATGTGGCTGAAATTGGAAATAGAGATATGATGTAAAATGGATTACGTATATAAGATGTTGAGACTCTGGAAAGAGTGCAGAGAAGATAAACCAAAATGATTAGGGAAGTGGAGGCTAAGACATAAGAAGAATAGTTACAGAAATTCAGTATGTCTAGTCTAATGAAAAGAAGAATTAGGGGTGATAAGATAACAGTGTTCCTATACTTGAGGGGCTCTTACAAAGATGAGGGGTTCAAACTATTTTTAAAAGCACGAAAAAGTAAGACAAGAAACAATGGTTGGAAATTAACCAAGGAGAGAAGGAACCTGGAACTAAGGAGAAATTTCCTAACGGTGAGAGCAATCAACCAATCGACTAGTTTTCTTTCAGAGGTTGTGGGTGTTCCATCACTGAAGACTTTCAAAAAAGTGAAAAGAAAACCTAGCAACTAAGATAATTAAGGGTCTGGAGACAAAAACCCATGAAAAACGGTTGCAGGAATTGGGAATGGCAGCCTAGAGGAAAGAAGGACTAGGGTTGACATGATAGCAGTGTTCCAAAATATCAGGGCTGCCCCAAAGAAGAGGGAGTCAAGCTATTCTCCAAAGCACCTGAGGGCAGGACCAGAAGCAATGGGTGGAAGCTAATCAAAGAGAGAAGCAACTTAGAACTAAGGAGGAATTTCCTGCCAGTTAGAACAATTAATCGGTGGAACAACTTGCCTCCAGAAGTTGTGATTGCTCAAATACTGGAAGTGTTTTAAGAAGATATTGGATAACCATTTGTCTGAAGTGGTGTAGGGTTTCCTGCCCAGACAGGGAGTTGGACTAGAAGACCTCCAAGATTCCTTCCAACTTTGTTATTCCACTATAAATGATATAGGATCTCCTGATTGAGCAGGGGATTGGTTGGAAGACCTCCGAAGTCCCTTCCAACTCTATTATTCTACATTCTATACATGGGAAACTTAGTCTCTATGTTGGCTTGAAGGCTGCATTAAAAAACACAGAGATTACCTGCCATGACCGGACATCTAAGATCTTCTTTCCAAGTCTCATCATAGCTGGTCGTGTTCCTGATCCATGCATTGCATGGAATGCATGTGCCACAGCATAAATAGCATTGTAGATATTATAACTTTCACCTGTCATGCTTGTTTCGAAAAGGTAGGCTGGCACATTCTGTAAATTCTCCTTTCCAGTACATGGCTTTTCCCCCTTTTGAAGGATCTCTCCTGGTTTGTGAACATTGCAGCCAAAGATCAGTGTCCACCATAGAGGGAGAAAGAAATTCCCTTGTGGATTTAAAGGGTCTAAAGACACGAGAAAATTGTTGAATTCTGAGACATCCCTGCTGTGGTCCCTAAAATGCAAAGCCCCATGGTAGTGCTTTATAACAAGTAACATAGATTCAGACTTCATCACATTAAGTTTCCAATTGGATGTAAAGATCCAAACTTTCAGTAACGATTCATATCTCTGTTTTTTATAAGCAAACACAGCTATCTGTGCATTTGTATTACTACTGTAGTCTCCAAAAAAAATAATCACTTCACCTTTAGACAAAGTGTTGAAAATGTGATATAAATTTGTATCTTCATGAGTGTAAAAATCAAATTTCATTATTTCAGTGAAGGCCAGGCATATCTCCTTCTCCTTCAGCATTGGCATCAGAGAAGAGACGAAATGTTCCCCACTGTCATCTTTGTTGGCCACCAGCCCAACCCAGTTCCACTGGAAATGCAGGAGCAGCTGGACTAGACCCTCATACTGAGCAGATTCACTGGGATTAATCCGGAAGAAAGAAGGATAAACTCTTCTGTCTCCTTGAGTGAACTCAAAGCCAACACCAAGCTAGAGAAAGTGAGAATCTTCTTTCAAAAGCAGGTTTTATGGTGACTTTAGGATTCCACATTGTGTAGTTAATGCCCCACCAGTCAGGCTGTCTCACAAGCTTCATCTTCCTCCCTTCTTAGGAAGAGTCACAAGTTACCTGTTTTGCCTGGTTCTCATAGATCAAAAGTCAAAGAAACCAAACATCTATCTAATATAGAGAATAAACTACAGTGACAGGTGCAGAAAGATGACAAACTTTTATAAAAGTCAGGAAGCAATGCCTCTTGGTAAATACAGCTTTTCAAAATTATCTGGTATTGGTATCTTTTTGCAGTTATATAAAAATGTATCTTGACATATAACATAGAAAAATCAATTCAACTTTAGGATGGATTACCTAAGTCATATACCCCTGGTGTGTGTCCCTCACAACATCTTTGCTTATATCCTTGGCTTCTGTGTGTGCTTCTGTTGTTTGTGTACTCCGTATTGTATCCAGTGGATCCCCCTTACCTGTGGGGCCTTGAAGATGCTGAAGATGGAGGCCATCTGCCTTGAGGATTTAGAGTTGTGACCTCCAATGGCAGAGAGCAGTGGGTCCTTTCTGTCACATTTGTAACCTGGAAGCATTCGGCGCCGTGTGGAGAGCAGGAAGAGGCTGTATAAGAAAATCTTCCTCTCCATCTTCAGATTTTCATAGATGCGGAAGCCAAGGGTGATGTTGGGAAGAAGAAGCAGATCCTTGTTCACCTCAAGGACAGCAAACATCAAGGCCAGGAACTGCTGGTAATTTTTGGGTAGGAATCTACAGTGAGAAAAAGATTGAGGGACATTAGAGGAAAGATCTTGTGTCCTGGTGAAGTTGGCCTTGTCTTTTGTGTATGTCCTTGGAGCATTAAGTGACAAATTCCATTCGGTTGTTTTGGCTTTTTTTAAGGATGTTTCCTGGTTGTGTTTGGATGGATTTCTGAGAAAGGAGAAACACCTGGTTGTCTTTATCCCACATTATTTTATCCCCTCCCCCTGTTCTCCCTCCCTTCTTCACTTTCCTCCAGTGGCTGAAATCCTCCCCAATTGCTCCTCTTCCTTCCTGATCAGTTTGTTTCTCCCTCGGAGCAGCTTCTATAGCAAAAGACTCCAGTGAGTGTCCCAGCTCAGATTTACTCAGGGCCATAATTCATCAGCTCTGCTGATTCCAAAACTGAGGAGGGTGTTTGTTTGTTTCTTGTTTCACAATATCCACATTGGAAAAAGATTGTTTTTTTCTTTGAGGTCTTTTTACTATGACTTTATGTTAAAATTAATATTATAGGTCACCTTCTTCAGTAGGTCAGCAAAGTTTCCAAGGTTTTCCCTCCCTACTTTTATATGGTTGATAGTCATCCTGATGAAAACATCTGGAAAGGCAGATCATGTCCCAGCATAGAATTTGTGTATAAACTGTTGTTGTTCTCTGTCGTCAGGAACAGTTCTGGAAAGACAGGGAATTCTAAACTATTTCTTGAACTTTTCTCTTTATTGAGACAAGGACATCTGAAGATCCCTAGAATGAGTATTTCTTAAAAGAGGCCCTGAATCCAAAGGAAAGAAAACAATCATCTACATATTTCCCCTCCAGGTGAAACTTACGTGCTATCACTAATAAGCCGCAATGGGTCCCTTTGAAAATCTGGTGATTTGGACTCCACAAAGGTTGACAGGGGCAAATTCCCTCCAATGATCAGATCACCAGGCTTGTAAAATTCCCACTGGCTTCGAAACTTTACGTGTTTTTTCAATGGACACATAGTTTGAATCTTCTTAGCAGTAACTGAAGGAAGGAGCCAGAAGAGCAGCAGCAGCAGGAGAGGCAGCCCAGCCATTCTTCTCACCTTCCCTCCTAGATCAGAAATCAAGGTGTGATTTGTGCAGAAGCTTAATTGCAGCAAGTATTTGAAATACCATCAGAGCTTTAGCACAATAGGCAGTTTTGGTGCCTTCTGGATGGCCTCCGGGCAAATTTAACTGATGTCTCTCTGCATTAACACATTTGAATTTTATCACTTTATTTCATCCTTTCTGCCCTATTCTGAAATTAGACTATGTGCTGTATTTTATTTTATAGAATAACAGAGTTAGAAAGGACCTTGGAGGTCTTCTAGTTCAACTACCTGCTTAGGGAGAAAACCCTACACCACTTCAGACAAATGGTTATCCAATATCTTTTTAAAAACTCCCAGTGTTGGAGCATTCACAACTTCTGGAAGCAAGTTGTTCCACTGATTCATTGTTCTAACTGTCAGGAAATTTCTCCTTAGCTCTAAGTTGCTTCTCTCCTTGATTAATCTCCACCCATTGCTTCCTGTTCTACCCTCAGGTTCTTCGGAGAATAGCTTGACTCCCTCTTCTTTGGGGCAGACCCTGAGCTATCGGAACACTGCTATCATGTCTCCCTAGTCCTTCTTTTCATTAAACTAGACATACCCAGTTCCTGCAACCGTTCTTCATATTAATAAAAATATTTTATTTTAATAAGGTCACAAGACTATCAATAAACTACTATTGTATCAATCATGCTTTCTTTTACCTGTCTTTGGGCTTTGACACAAAGGCCAGCAGAGTCTCACCAAACCTCACAGTTATCTCTTTGGAAGACAACGCAAAATCCTCCAACACTGAGAGAATTCAGAGACAATTTTTTAAAGCAGGTTTAACCCTGGAAGATTTCTCTGTGTTGAAATCCACAGGGGATACATTAAGAATTACTGTTCTTCTAATTGGAGAGGAAAGCAATTGTCCTATCTGTTTGGCAAATGGAGGTTGTTTTCACGCAAGACAGGGAAAAACATGTTTGTGTCTCTTGTTGCTAATCCACAGAACAGATGGACATGAGAGTCAAAGTGAAGTTGACTTTTTGAACTACCTGAAAGTGAACACCTGCAAACAAGATGGAGTTTGGCCTGGGTCATAGTATGTTCAGGTAGAATGGGTACTAATGGGGCATAATGGCAGTGAGCTGTACTGTAGCAAGTGTGAACAATCGTACCAATGGTTAGATGCAGTAACTGCTTTAATTATTGTCAAGATTGTATTGCTACAATGCTTGTTAGCTTCATCATCTTGCCAAAAAGGGGGGGGAGGGAATAGAATGCCAAGAAGCCATTAATGGATCGCGGAAGCCTGCAACACAGCAAGGACATTGATGCAGGTGCTCAATGGAGAAGTCAACTGTCCCTAAAACAAACATAAATATTACAATTGGACAATGTGAACCCTCAGTGGTTGGGGGAATGGGGATCTAACATTTAACTAAGCAAGCTTTTGCATGGGAAACCTCAGAGTTGGTTTTTCTGGGACTTGCCTTGAGGATTCCTTTTGTTGGGTTCACTATTCAGATTTTTCACATTAAACCCACTCTCCTTAACATTCACATTATGAATGCAGACTATCGGGACACTTCCAAGAAAGTTGTAGCATAGTGATGTCAGGAAGTGAGAAAAAGTGGTGCCTGAGGAACAAAGTTGAGAAAGTGCAGGGGGTAGAGAAACTGCTGAAGTTTAAACAGGTGACATAGGCTGAGAAAGTGAGAGTGGAGCCAGTTAAAGTGGAGAATGAGTGAGCCAAGCTGAGCATTTCAAAGGAATACCAAGATTTGGCAGAAGTATTTAGTGAGCAGGAGTCAGACATGCTCCCCCTCTCACTGCCCCTTATACTGTGCAATCGACTTACTGCCTAGGGCAAAGCTTCCCAAACCAAAGATGTACTCCATTACCCCAAGGGAGATGGAATTGCTCCAGAGGTTCATGGATAAAATTTTGCTAAGGGATTTATTCAGCCAGCGAAATATTGGTAACAGCACCAATGCTCTGCAAGGAGAATAAAGATGGTTCTTTGAGATTGTATGTTGATTTTTGAGGGAATAATGGGGTTTGCATGGGAAAACAAGTGTGCAACTCTTACAAGACAGGGGAATAAATGGATGGATTTACCAATTTGTATGACTAGCCATCCCATGCAAAGTCATTCTGGGCTATGTACAACAAACCAATATAAGCTGTAGATAAAGAAAACAATCCTTGTTTAAAAACTTAATGCAATAATTATTAAAAAGAATCAGAAATTATAACAGCAGAATTAAAACCAGAAAAGAGAAAAATATACAAAGGGATATGTCAGTCCTGGAGCCTTTTTCACCTTCAAGGCTGCCACAGCGGAGATGTTTCAAGCTGTGGGAATGGGAAGGGGGAGGTAGAGAAAGCCAGGGGATTGTAGCCAAAATAAAATTCTTTCCTCTGAGGACCAAAGACTCTTCCACCAGGTGCAAGCAGGTGGGGGCTGAAATCAAGTGACCCTTGGACTGTGACCTGATTGGACCATGTAATGGATTGCATGGTCAGGGGAAATAAAACTTTACTTTTAACTAGGGGGAAACCTGAGGGGGGATTTAGAGTCGAGTTTCCCCAGATGTGTCAATATGACGTGCCTAATAAATGTATAACTTGAGGAAGATGCCTGCCTCTGAATTTTGATTCCTTTGGGTGTGTTACTTGGAACCCTGACAGAATGTTCATAATAATAAAGCCAAATAATGGGTTTACGTTGTTCCTGGGGTACCCAAGTCTGCTTTCATAACAAGGAACTTTAGAAGCTCAGGAATGATGAGGCCAAACAGTGCAGCTGACAAAGCAGAGAGATGCACTGCCAGAAACCTTATAACTTCTTTTTATTCTGCCTGTTGCAACAGTTGAATTTTTTTATGCACTCTTCAACCAAAACTATCAAGTGTGGTCTTACTAAGGATTTGTAAGGTGGTTAAAATAAAAAGGTTGGTGATTGTTGCTGATTAAGTTATAGTTTGTGATTGGTCACTTCATTTGGTTTCCAATTATTTAATTGACAATCCCTTCTCATTTAATGAAATTTTAGAAATCAGATCAATACACAAAATGTCCCAAAATCAACGTAAAAGTTCAGAGATCCTTGTGCCTCATTTTATATTCCCTACAATTAAGATGTGTCTGAATAGAATAGTGTAGCATTTGTGGGAAAAGAGGCCAAGATGGAGAAGATCTCCATAGCCATCATGGACTTTTCTTTGGTACTCAGATAGATGGGCAGCAAAGTGATTCAAACACTGTAAAAGACCAGCATGCTAAAAGTAATGAATGGCTTAATTATAGATTTCATACAATTTCAGAGCCAGAAATTTGATTTGATTGATTTGATTTTATTATACTTATATGCCGCCCTTTCCCCCCGAAGGGGACTCAGGGCAGCTCACAATTCAAATCAGGGAAGGGGGATACAGACAAAAAATAAAAGATGAAACATAACAATACATAATTTAAAAACACACAACAGTCATACCATTCGAGACGGGGGCAACAACTCTTTAGCCCCAGGCCTGTCGGAACAGCCACAGGGAGTTCTCCACGGGGAGTTCGTTCCAGAGGGTCGGAGCAGCCACAGAGAAGGCTCTCCTCTGGGTAGTCGCCAGTCGGCACTGGCCGGCGGATGGAATTCGGAGGAGGCCTAATCTGTGGGATCTAATCGGTCTAGTGGAGGTGATTGGCAGCCAGCGGTCTCTCAAGTACCTAGGTCCAATACCATGAAGGGCTTTATAAGTGACGACTAGCGCCTTGAAGCGTATCCGGAGACCAATAGGCAGCCAGTGAAGCTCGCGGAGGATAGGTGTTACGTGGGTGAACCGAGGTGCACCCATGATCGCTTGCGCGGCTGCATTCTGGACAAGCTGAAGTCTCCGAATGCTCTTCAAGGGCTGCCCCATGTAGAGCACGTTGCAGTAGTCCAGTCTAGAGGTCACAATGGCACGAGTGACTGTTGTGAGGGCTTCCCGGTTCAGGTAGGGACGCAACTGGTGCACCAGGCGAACCTGGGCAAATGCCCCCCTGGTCACAGCCGACAAGTGGCCCCCCTGGTCAAGGCTACCATACATATTATACCTACCGGTACGGAATGGAAATAACTCACTGAGCAATTTATGAGGCACCAAAAAGGGCAAATCATCCTTCATTTATGATCATCCTGGGGATAGATTAGCCAGAGAAAATGATTGAGTGCTATACATTTACTGTGCACTTCAATAAGTAATGTGGCTTTCAGACTGAAATTCCTTCCTGTTTTTTCCTCTATATTATAATGGAACCCACAGAAGAACAGTTTCTGGTGTGTGACTATAAAGGTTCATAGCTGCTCTAACTCCCCAGGAGTCAGCTTTGGCTTAGGCAATTTAGCCCCCATTAGGATATCTATGGAGCAGTCAGTTGGGCTGTGAGATGGGAGTGCATAGTGAGGTGTGTCACTGAACATATCCCTGTTTCAGATCTTGAAGCCATCTTTTACATTGGGCCTTCAGGCCTGCCACATTTTCTACTGTGGGAAAATGGGAGGGGGAATCATATAGAGTATGGGGGAAATATAGTCAAAATAACATTCTTTCTCAGAGAGTCAAGGCCACCTAGTCCTGCAGCTGTGATGATGTAACTGGGAGGTATCTCCAGTGATGGATGGTGCCTGATTGGGCCATGTGATGGACACGTGGATGCTAGACAGGGACTTGGACTTTCCTTTGGGTGGGGAAAACCTGGAAAGTTTTAGATTCGGGTTTTTCCAGATGTGCCAATATGACATCTCTAATAAAATGGAACCTTGAGGAAACTCAAGCCTTGGAGCCTTCTTTTGTTTGGGGTGTTAATTGGAACCTGACATTAACCCAAATCCCTTTTAAAGAATTCTAACAGCTCCCCAAATCCAGGATGCTGTAAAGAGTCCTGAGCCACAGCGTCGACCCAAAGCTGGGCAGCATAAAGACTCAGGGAAGATGGAGGGAGACAAGAAACACACAGAGGGAGCCACAGGAGATGGCTCAGCTACTTATGTCAAGACCATCTACTCCCCTTCCCAAGCCTGTAAATTGAAGAGGCTGCTGAGAGAGAACACCAACTGAGAGCCAGGTGCAAGGAGCTGGCATCTGTATGACATCTCTAACAAAATGGAACTTTGAGGAAACTCAAGCCTTGGAGTCTCCTTTTGTTGGGGGTGTTACTTGGAACCCTGACAGCTGCCATCATATGCTTGAGCTTTGCATTCACTAGCTGTCAATCTGCCATGAACTATGGGGAGACGGAGCCAGATGGGAGTGGGGAAAGAGAGTTACTGATTACAGCTTTCAGAGACACCAGATCATGGTCAAAGTTCTGGGAGTGGTATGCAACAGCTCACCAACCAGCCTGCCATTGAAGGGAATGTTCACAAAACAATTTATTCAACTGTAATTGGATAGTAGGGGACTAGGAAGGGGAGAAACTGGATGGGAAAAGTTAACCAGGAATATTTGGCATGCAAATGTCAGTACTGGCTTTGCTATATTGTAATCCATTTGGCTTTTAGTAAAAGTATACTTTTCACTACAGATGGAATCAATGGCCTTCCTTGACTAAAGTATGCTAACCCCATCTGATATGGTATGATGGCTAGATCTTCTCAGGAAAAATAGTCTGACAAATAACCTAGTCCTGTGGAATGTAGGATTTGAAAAGTGATGGCCAACAGTTAAGAAATCCCTGAAACTGGGTGAGGACCCATGGGTCAGAATTTGGGGTTGCTCTTTGCCTTTTTAGAGGTGTACCCTGAATGAGGGCTGGAGAAAGCCAAACACAAGTACCATATTGGAAGCACTTAATCAATCTAACTAGAAACTGATTCCATCAACTTGATGGTCTTTACCTGCTTCCTTTTGCAGATCCCCATGCTGGGCTCAGAATACTAATCTTCTAATCCAAATGACATTTGTGTTTGTCATCTGTTGACCATGAGTCACTGAAGGCTTTAGCTCAGAATACTCACTTGAGGAACAAATGACTAAGCACAAACAACCGTTCATTTTAAAAAAATGCTGTCTTTATTTAAAAAAATAAAAACTAACATAAAAGGAAAAGGAGAAAGGGAATAATAGGCAGGTTAAAAATAAAACAAAGAGAAATGGCATAAGACAAATATATAACAAAAGGGACTTTCAACTATTTCCTGTGCAAACAACAAAATAATTCAACAAACCACTGATGATGATCCTAGTTGGGTAATGAAACCACACAGGAAATGGTCCTTCAGTTCATGTTATCATTTTTTAGAAACATCATCACATACTGAACATAAGGACTCAGGTGGCACAGTGGTTAGAATGCAGTACTAAAGATTACTTCTGCTGGTTGCCAGTAGTTCAGCAGTTCGATTCTCATTGGGTCAAGTTTCACTCAGTCTTCTATCCTTCCGAGGTGGGTAAAATAAAGACCCAGATTGTTGGGGGCAAGAGGCTGACTCTATAAACCACTTAAAGAGGACTGTAAAGCACTGTGAAGTGTTATATAAGTCTAAGTGCTATTACTATAACTCATCCATTAATATAAACATGGTCTAACACTGATTTAGTTAGAGATTTTTGTTTCTTACTATATTTTCTCTACAATTCAGATGTGGCGTCAGTAGAATAATGTAGCATTTGGGAAAAAGATGCAAGCCAAGAGACCAGCCCCAGAGGCCAAGATGGAGAAGACCTCCACAGCCACCATGGACTTCCCTTTGGTGCTCAGGTAGGTGGGGAGGAAAGTGATCCCAACACTGCAAAAGACCAGCATGCTAAAAGTAATTAACTTGGCTTCATTAAAGCTGTCAGGTAATTTCCTGGCTAGAAATGCCACTATGAAACTGATAAGGGATAAGAAACCCAAGAAGGCAAGGGCAGCATAAAACATTGAAGCTGAGTCTTCATTACATTCTAAGATGATCTCTGCAAACAAGGAGTGGAAGTCCAAGTTGAGAAATGGGGGAGAGGTTCCCAGCCAGGTGGCACAAAGAAAGGCTTGGACCAGAGGACAGGCTAAGACAGTGGAGTTGGTGAGTGATTTTCCTAAGAGTTTCCTTGTCCTGTTTCCAGGCTTGGTGGCCATGAAGGCCAGAACCACCATGACAGTTTTTGCCAACAGAGAGGAAACTGCAAAGGAAAAAAGAATGGCAAAGGAAGTTTGTCGAAAGAGACAGGTGAACTTCCTGGGTTTTCCAATGAAGAGGAAGGAGCAGAGGAAGCAGAGCAGGAGGGAGACCAGGAGGATGTAGGCGAGATTTCGGTGGTTTGCCTTGACAATTGGTGTATCATGATGTCTACGGAAAATTACCAATACTGTGGATGCGATCAGAGAAAGGAAAAGAGCTAGAGAAGCCAAAGTGTATCCCAGGACCTCTTGCTGTTAAGACATGTAATATTAAATACATATTTTGATCATGTTTTTCTGATATTATACCTAATAAAAACAATTCAAGTTTAAAATCTACAAAGATTCTTGATTTCAGATGTAGCTCACTGTGAACCCTGCCTAGAAGACCAATATCCCAACAAGGACAAGGTCCAATGCATTGCCAAGAAGATCCACTTCCTTGCCTATCAAGACACCCTGGGATACATTTTAGTTATTCTTGCTGTCTTTTTCTCTATGATCACTTCTGCAGTCCTGGTGATTTTCTATAAACATCATGACACACCAATNGTTCCAGCAACTTTCTGCAATTTCTGGATGGTGTGAAAGCTTACTTATCATTGGTTTAGCACTGCTGTAAAATACAACCAACGTCACCTTCCCCTCCATCACATTTGTGCTACATTTAATCACGATGATGTTAATTAATTGTGGGGGTAGTTCATTTATTAGATTTTTAACCCTGCCTTTGTTACTTTATTGGGTACGTTTCAATGCCAGAGACACCAATAACCACCACATTACACCTTTGCATCTTTCCAATTGGCCAGCGAAGGGTTTGATGTCACAATTCCTTGTATTTGCATATGGGTGGGAAGGATGGACGCCTCATAGATGCATATTATGAAGCTCTCCAGCTGCTATGTCACAAGGTAGTTGTATTTCTCCAGCTAGCCAGCCAACCTGTCCTTCACCGAATCCAATTCCCAGAGGTGGCAAGAGGAGAGACACCTTTGTCCCTAAGCCCCAAAGCTGGCAGCGAGAAGGAAAAGGAAAATGCCTGCTGCCCAAAAGGGAAAGAAGAAGTCTCGGCCTCAGAAGAAAGCACAGCAGCTTCCAGGACGGAAAACCCCCGGCAAGATAATACAACCCGAGGAGAAGAAACCAGAGCTCAGGCAAAGCAAACGGGACCAAAACACGCCAACTGTGAGGCCGGGGAATAAGAGGAAGGAGATGGGAGAGGCTTCCGGTTTGCCTGTGCCTAAGACATCTCCAGTGGGCCACCAAAGGAAGGCTCGCTTGCCTGCAGAGGGCAGCGGGAATGCAGCTTCCTCAACCAGGAGCGGTGCTACCCGACGGGCCTCCTCCAAAGCTAAAAGGACAAAAGTTGCCAGGAATCTCTGTTTCTTCAGTTCCAAAGACCTCCAGTATGAAGTGAACGAGTTGATGCGCAAGGAACTGACCACGCACATGTTTCCCAGCAACCCGCGTGGCCATCACTGACCAAAGCCATAAACCCTTTCTTCTTGGGGACCCACTGAAGCAGACACTCAAGGGGGGAGGGGAGGAAGAGAAGCATCAACTGGCCAGAGCAAAATCCCATCTGAGAAGATCTGACATTTCGATTTAAGGTGCCTTAGCAACCCAGCCGTCTCTAAGCCTCTAGAAATTATTTTGCCGAGCTGCAGCCATCCTTAGAACTCACAGTTATCTCTCCCTAAAGGCAAGAGCAGCACATTTTCACCCAAATAACTTCAGAGAAAAACATTCAACTTCTTAGAGAAAAGTCCTTCTTTTCACTAAAAAAAAAAAAAAAAANGCCTATAAATAAACTTTAAAACTAAAAACTAAAACTAAACCTACACCATTTCAGATAGGTGGCTGTTCAGTCTCTTCTTAATAACCTCCAGTGATGAAGCAACCACAACTTCTGAGGGCAAGCTGTTACACTGGTGAATTGTTCACACTGTTAGGAAGTTTCTCATTAATTCCAGGTTGCTTCCCTCTTTGATCCGTTTCCAACCATTGTTTCTTCTTCTGCCCTTCGGTGCTTTGGAGAATAATTTGACCCCCTCTTTGTGGCAACCCCTCAAATACTGGAAACCTGCTATCCTGTCACCCCTAATTCTTCTTTTCTTTAGACTAGCCAGACCCAAATCCTGCAGTGTGAGGGGTTTAAAGGGTAATCTACATTTCCTATCTATGGGACAGTTCTTATTTTTCACTTTGCAGCTGCAGGCTGGCTGGGGAAATCCAGGTGTTAAAATTGCCAAGGTTGAGAAAGATTGTGCTACATCATCATCTCATTTATTACTAGCTTTCATGCCCAGCTTACATCTGGGCCAGCTAAGCACCACAGACAGAGACACTAAAACCTGAGGGTGGTACAAGCAATAGGTTAAATTGTCATTAAAAAAAATGTTTGCTGTGTTCGCAATATGTTTGCTGTGCTATTCTCAAACAAATTAACCACACGATGGCTTAACGAGATCATTCAATCTGCTAAATCAATGCTTCAATTTCTACAGCACACAGAACCACAAACTGCCAAGCCCAGCAGTGTCTGCAAGGCAGTCAAAACAGGCAACTCATCTGTCTGGAACCCGCATTGGATATCGGACATTAATGCAATTGTGCGAGTCCAGAGATACTCCATGAGAAGAGTCCTCCGCTCCTCTGCTCGCAACAGAATACCTTATGCCACCAGGCTTGAAATTTTGGGCTTGGACAACCTAGAACTATGTCGCCTTCAGTCTGACCTAAGAGTAGTACATAAAAGTAGCCCCTAAAATGTCCTACCTGTCAATGACTACTTCAGCTTCAACCGCAACAATACACCAGCACACAATAGATACAAACTTAAGGTAAACTGCTCCAAACTTGATTGCAGAAAATACAATTTCAGCGACAGAGTGGTCAATGCTGGAATGCACTACCTGACTCTGTGGTTTCTTCCCCAAACCCCAAAAACTTTAACCTTACATTGTCTACTGTTGACCTCACCCTATTCCTAAGAGGTCTGCAGGGACATGCATAAGCGCACCAATATGCCTACTGTCCCTGTTCTAATGTTCCCTTTTATTCATATCCATTTCATGTATTCAAAATCATGTTTATACTTACCGTATTTTTTGGGTTCACCAACAAAAGGGCGAACAACAAAAGCACACCCGACTAAACCGCGGTGACAAAACCGCGAGTTCTAAAGCGTGACGACGAAAGAGCGCTGAAGTGTGGTGACAACAGTGCAGCGACAGAAGCGCGCTGTAAACCTAACCCTAACCCTAACCCTAACCCTAACCCTAACCCTCACCCTAACCCTAACCCTAACCCTAACCCTAAACCTAANTGGGATTTGGATTACAGTTATTACTATACCTTTATGACCTGCCCTTTAAAAAAGTTTTATTCATACTTATAGCTTTATATATTTTAGCGTTCGGCTTTTTGGCCCAAAAGCTGTAATAAAGTTTTGTTTTTGATTTGATTTGGATGCTGAGAAAAACTACAAAAAGAGTCCTAAAAGACCATTGGAAACAATTGAAGAGTCTACGAAGATTTGTTTCCTACTCTTTGGCCAAGTTAAAAAAATAGTTTTGAAAAACTGAAAACAATAGAATAGAATAGAGTAGAGTAGAGTAGAGTAGAGTAGAGTAGAGTAGAGTAGAGTAGAATAGAATAGAATTCTGTATTGGCCAAGTGTGATTGAACACACAAGGAATTTGTCTTTGGTGCATATGCTATCAGTGGACATAAAGATAAAATAAAATACATTCACCAAGAATCATAAGATACAACACAGTGATAATCATAGGTTACTAATAAGCAATCAATTCATACTAGGAAACAAATAAAACAATATAAATCATAAAGATACAAACAACAGGGTTATAGTCATAAGTGGGAAGAGATAGGTACTAGGAAGGATGAGAAGAATAATAGTACTACAGTCTTAGTAAATAATTTGACGGTGTTGTGGGAATTAGTTGTTTGTGCATAATATAAAATAGGCATATACTTTATGGAAGGCTTGAAGGAGATGTCAGAGAGAGGGGAAGAGAAAGAGAGGGAGAAAGAGAGAGGGAGGGAGAATGCTCCAACTCTGTGGGGAGTATTCATGATATTATCTGACCTAAAGACTCAGTGGATTCAGTATACAAAAATAGCTAGAAAGGGGAAATAACCTGGATATTAAGGGCACAAAAATTCAGATTTACAATGGAATGACCATACCACCACAAAGCTTTAAATCTTTTTTTTTCTGATCTTCTTTGGCCATGATTTCATCACTAGAATATGTCTTTCTTCCATGTCTTTGTTCCCTCTTAATTTTATCTGAGATGTTCCCTCTTAATGTTCCCTCTTAATTTTATCTGAGATGTTCTGTATTCTCATCCAGACAAAAGGCTCAGAACTTCAAAAGCAAGAAGTTGTAAGCAATGGATCCCTTGTTAGAGTAATACCACATTGCCTTGTGTTTGTTTAGGGCTGTCTTCCTTTCTCAACTTTAGTGTACATACACAAAATTACTCCCCCATCAACATTCTCCTGTGATAACTTTATATCTAGTGAAATACACACATAAGGACAGAAAGAATAGGTGTGTCTTGAGGTGCCATCATTAACTGAAGCTCAGACGTGATTTGAACCCTCTACTTTTTTTTAAGAAAAAGAAAAATGATCTGTCCTCTCTCCCTTTCTCCTTCCCTCCCTCCCTCTGCCTCCCCCATTATTTGGATTCAGTGAGAACTTTTGTTTAAAAGTACAAGTCCGATAAAATGAAACTAAGTTGGACAGGTCAACATGAAAATGATTTTAAAATATAATCTTAATTCACAAGGCAGGTCATTTAGACATTTTTATATCGTTTAATTTTGCTACTAAGCAGCATTGAATGTTCTTTTCTGACATCAAAGAACACTTGAAGACAAGAGGAAGCAGCTTGTTTTCATCAGTGAAAGGAAAAAATGAACTTAATGAAAAGGAAAAAAATAGCATTTGTAATTGTGCAATTAAGCTTCCACTGAAAGCATAAATTCTAATTTAACTTCTAACTCAGCCCACTGCCAGGAGTTCAATCTTGACTGGCTCAAGGTTGATTCAGCCTTCCATCCGTCGGTAAAATTAGAACCCAGATTTTGGGGGGCAATATGCTGACATTGAGAGTGCTATAAAGTACTGATGAAGAGTATATAAGTCTATGTGCTCTTGCTATTGTTATTAATAATTAGTATTTCATTTAGAACAAAAACCCAAAGTAAGATAATAGGGGAGGATGGTAACGGATGGGAGCAAATGTTTCTTCTAGCTCAGATGATATTTTTTTGAGTCTGTAAAGACACTATTTGGAACTATATCCCCCTTTTTTATTTGTTGACATCATGACTATATTAATCAGTCTGGGCACTGCACAACATTGAGCTAACACAAAATCTAAAAATAAGCCTCAGAAATTATAATAATAATTTGCATGACAAAGGAAAGAAAAACATTTTGTTCTCAACCACAGAATATTGTCATGGTTAAAAAAAGGGATCTACCAAAAGACACTGAAAACAGATACCTATATTATAATTCCAAGCACTGAAATCCATGAGAATAATTTGATTCAAGAGGCAAGCATAGAATAATACTTAAATACATTTGTGCATTTTTACATTTTTAAAACATGGAGAAAATACTCCCAAATGTGCTTTTTCAGGGGGCAAGTGGACTTTCTTGTTTTTTTCTTTTGAAGATGTTTTACTTCTCGTCCAAGAAGCTTCTTCAGCTGTCAGAACTGAAGAAGCTTCTTGGATGAGGAGCAAAACATCTTCAAAAGAAAAAAAAACAAAAAAGTCCACTTGCCTCCTGAAAAAGCATCTTTGGGAAAAACCATGACGTGGATATTTTAAATATATATGATATATATTGTATTTATATGTCGTAAAAGAAGCATAATCTACTTTAAATAGTGATTCTCCATTACCACAGACTAAAATAACATGACAATATTTTAGTATTAAAATGAGTAAAATCAAGTTAAAACAATTTACACATCATTTATCACTACAGTGTTCAAAGAGAGAGAGAGACAATATCTACTTGAAAGGACAGATGGCAATAATGTTGAGTAAGACCCATTAACAAGAAGTTAGACAGCTGTTATCTGCTGCTTATTATGTAGGCTGTTAGAATAAACTTGGCTACATTTACAGGTATTCTTAAACCTTGATTAGATTAGAAGTTGTGGAACACAGAGTCTGTCGGGTTGAATTGAGAGATAAATGTCCATTAATAGTCATCACGATGTAATGGTCAACACTGAACCAAGACCAGGACTTGAGGATAAAATATCAGGACACAGAAGCATAAAGTCTCTATGATATTTAGAAATCACAAAGCTGACCTAATATTAATCCAAATAGTGATGCACAGAATTAATATAGTAATATAACAGTTCATCAAATCATGCCTATTCAGAAGTTAACCC